CTGAAAAACATCGAAAATGTGCCAAAACTACATCAGTGGAGCTCGAATCATTTTTCACGATGAAAAGTGAGGAAAGTGGTGATCGTGGTGCTTCAAAAGACAATGACACTGAACATTTGCGAGTTCCTGCAGCACCAGCAAATCCAGCAGCTAAGCCTACCCAAAGTAAATTTCAACTGAGTGAAGCTGTTGTAAAGGCAGAACTGATGTGGACAATGAAGTTAGTTACTGATCACCAGTCATATAAATCTTCCGAAACGGCAAGTCACTTGTTTCAAGCTATGTTCCCCGACAGCGCTATAGCGAAGCAATTCAAATGTGGTGAACGAAAATCAGCATATCTTGCTGTTTATGGATTAGCTGAACATTTTAATTTTAATACGTTGTTGATCGGATTGCAAATTTATTTTGGTTTATAATGGCAAATGATACTTTGAATATTACATGTTAATAACTTGATTGGAATTATAACCTTGAGTTGACAGTTTGATACTTTGAAAATTTTGAGCCAGCCCTCCCCCCAAGGGCTGTAGGGTGGGGCCCAAAGGAGTCAGTGTGCTAAAATTTCTTCATTTTCCATGTTTAGATCAGAGGTGCTAGTTTCAAATACTTTTTAGTCTTAAATCTGTATGCTAGATATTGAATAAGGTGGTTTTATTGTTTTTTGTCACTTTGAATGATATTTCTGTTCATGTTAAAAACAAAATCAACTCTCTGTATAAATATATCAGGTGACCGTTAAGGCCCATGGGCCTCTTGTTAATTAAATTATAATTAATTTTGAAATTTTTCATAGTTCCAAATCCAACCAATTAAGATTGATTACTCTGATTATCATTGAATATGTTGATTGTAATATAGATGAGATGAAGATCAAACGGCATTGTCAATGTCAAACAGGGTTCATCTTGGTGGGAAATTCTAACATTGAAAACAACAGTTGAAAATGTAGAGAAATACATCTGTAGAAATTGATCTTGTGAACCACAACAGCGTTATAAAATTTTGTCATTTTTTTCAAACTTTTGACTGTATCATATTTGAACAGACTACAATGAGGACATTTACCAACAATTTATGTAGGATTATTGTAAGTGATTCTTGCTTCGAGACAGTTTAACAGGATGTCCTGGCTAAGAGATAGCTATATTGAGGATGAGAATGATTATACTCACAGCCATTAAAAGGAACATTACCTGGTGTAGGATCATGTTTATGCAGTGTCCCATACCTTCCGATATTTACCTGTACCTTTTACCTGTATAGTTATCAACTAGGTCAGGTGTGACGACATAAAATGTTGAGAATTTATAATCCTCAAAATCTACACAAACCCCGCATATAGGTCGCTCCCGTAACATAATATTTACACAACAGAGGTATGCTGTAATAAAGAAAAAGTTTTGGTTCCCCCCTCCAGCACCTTCTGAAAAACAGAAAATCAATACCATCTGGTAAAGAATGTGTTCATTTTATTGAAATTTATATATTATAGTATATGGGTCAGTTTTTGCAGGTAAATATTATCTAGTGTTTAAAGGCTATTCACAGACTCTGCTGGATGACATTATACATCATATACATAATGAATATAGTCATCCTGACATGACCAAGCTTTAGTCTATTAAATATTGTCACGGTCACTATTTTATGGATGGCTGAAGCCCTTATGTATAGTTTCATAGCAAGTAACAGCTGAATCATAACCTGACCTATATCATATATGTGTATATTTTATAGATATTTCATTACCCTCATATATAGAATGTTTACTATCTGACTTTTAGTGTTTCAAGGAGAAAAATTGTCACAAATTCTTCAATAGAAACATAAATCTGATCGTTCCCTCCAGATCTTAACTCATATTATTATAAGTCTGACCTCCGGACAAATTTTAAGGGTCTCTTTGGAGGTCTATTTGGTCTGTACAGATTTGTCCCTCTAAGTCCGCTTCATTTGGACAGTCTGGTCCATAAGTCCATAAGGATTTGTCCCTCTAATTATTATAAGTCTGACCTTGGGACAAAGGCTCTATATGGAAGTCTAGTTGGTCTGCATGCACAGATAATGTGAGGTTTGTCCCTTGGGTCTACTCCGGTTATTTGTCCCTGATAACTAATTAGGACGATGTAATACCATTAAGGCTGATTTTCACCAGTCAGTTCATTACAGATAATCTGTTGAGTTTGATTGATTAAATATCCAACAACACAGTACGGCAGAGGGGTCTTCTCATATCAAGTCATGTACTCCATCACCATTAATGAGGGGTCATCTCAAAGGTCACTTTTAGGTCAGGAGTCCATTCATCCTGTATTATCGAGTATCTGAACATTGTCTTTTAAGGTTGTAAATGAAAAGTTCTTTGAACATTTTATGATTTTTTTATGATTTCATTTGAAAAATGCAATATCATGATTTTTTTCATTTTTCATTTTATTTTTTATCTATATTGCATTTTCAAATTTTTACTGGAATATCTGTTGAAAATTCCAATGGAGGTTAGTCTTGAAGTTGAATTGAAATTAATAGTTGCTGAATTTTCCATTTATAATAAAAGTATCAGCTGTGAGGAGTTAGCTCCCTTCTCAGATGCTAATGTAAGCTGTGAGGAGTTAGCTCCCTTCTCAGATGCTAAACTGTTAGAATGAAAAGCTTGTTTAGAGAAAGGTATTAAGAACTTGATCAAAGTTGAGGAGGCATATAATATTTTATTATCTATCTGTTTATAAGTCACCAAATCTTAAAGATACTTTAATAATTGTGTTGAAGCACTTTCATTTTCTTGACAGATTACAGAAAACGTAATTTGTTCACTAAGTTGTCTGTGTGCAGTGTTTTTCAAAAGAAACAATAAAATCAATGAAGTATGGTGTTAAATTATTTTTTATTGGTCTTTAAACATGTCTTTAAATGTCAATTAAGTCATTATTTACACATCTTACACATACATTTACCTGTGTAGGAAGGTAAATTCAGCTGTTCCAGTGATTAATTATCTACCTGTGTGAGGTATATAACTTACTGGAGCCAAACGCTGTGGCTAGATACATCACAAACTTCAGATATTAGTTTAACAGTATGTGTTGGGAACTTATAACTATTTATATTATACACTTTCAAGACTTTTCTGTATGTTGTGAACGCTTAGTCGTGTAAATCTAGGAGTACTTTCAGTTTTGATAAAACAAAAATTGGAGAGATGCTGTAATGTTATCAAGTAGATTCATGGGCAGTGATTGTTGTCTGTGAAGAACTGAAGAGTTGGACTGGAGAATCATTGAGACAATATCATTTGATTCTTACGAAAGTACAATGCTACTGTTGAATGCGGTTTCTTTGATCTGGACCAAGACCAGCTTGAGAAAGTCAGTTTCTGACTCATGGTCAATGAAAATCCATCAAAATTCCTTACCTCAGATAAGATTTTGTTTCAATGGACAGATATATTTTGTATAAAACTGAATGCAATGAACATTATAAACAGTGTTTCTAGTCTTACAGGCCAGTTAGATTGATTCCTTTATACAGCTTAATGGTCGCAGGATTAGTTTGACCGATCAGTGTTAACAGAGTGGTTTACATAGATAACTTTAATGGTCAATTTAGACAGGTTTATAGGCTTGACCATCTTCGTTGACAATAAGCTCGAGATGACAAGTATTCTTCAGGATAGAGGAGCCTCATTTTGAGGTAGACGAGAATTGAGATACTGTATTGTAATACTTGGCGTGATGGATTTACAGTTATCTCCCCTTACTTTGATAGTTGTAATGGAGACCATTTTACAAATCAATGAATCCAGGATAGTCATTTACCATTGATGATTAAACTTTTCTGTTGACCTTGTTCGATATTTGTTTATGAAGTCTTGCCATTTTTTGGCTGTCAATGGCTTTTATGATTGGTTCTAAGGTTACTGGACGTTAATCTGTACTAATTATCAGGTAGTCGATACTACTTCTCGCTCTTTGTGTGTACGATAAACATACTTGTATAGGACCAGTCAAATTTGAGCTCTCGGGGATACATCTGATCAATAGGTACAATCATCAATAAGCACATCCACACCTTTCTTTCTTGAGGAAATTTACTTCAAAAAACATATATTTCTGTGTAAAACACAAATTGGCATCAGAGATTCCTTGAGAGGCACAAAAGTAACAATACTGCTGATATAATATTTTTTACGGTATCATCGTCCTGTATATCTTGTTTTGGAGCCCTATTTATGTATACTGTACAGTAAAGCAGGTTATATTAATTATGTAAAAACAAATAATTCAGAAATTAATTTTCCAAACCATAAAAACAATTCAACAGAATGATATTCTGTGCAGATTCTATGGCATTTGTTACTGGTATGTTTCCCTTTGTAGAATGTTCAAGGTTATGGCCTGAAATAGAAATCTTCTGTTTTATACATCATATATATATAATGATAAATAATGTTCACATTGAGCATCATTACTCTCTAGGGTCCCTCGAGTTTCGCTTTGAAGATAGTACAAAATTCAAAGATTCATTAAAAACTGTTTTATTGGAACCAGCAGTTTATGAACAGGTATAACACATTCTAGCCATTTTTATGTTTTATTGGAACCAGCAGTTTATGAACAGGTATAACACATTCTAGCCATTTTTATGTTTTATTGGAACCAGCAGTTTATGAACAGGTATAACACATTCTAGCCATTTTAATGTTTTATTGGAACCAACAGTTTATGAACAGGTATAAGTATTCTAGCTATTTTATGGGAGAGCATAAAACACTATCAGGTTAACCCTTTCACCACTGTGGACCATAATGGACTCATCCAGATCAATGCATGGTAGAGTTTACAAAAGTTAAATAGGGGTGAAAGGGTTAGGTCATTAATAAGATGATTAATAAATCATCATCATTATCATCAAACAAATCAAAGCAAACAACAATTTAACATATTGAAATGTAGTTTTTGCTTTTTAAAAAAAACTTCATTTTGTTGTGTTTTGCAGATGAAAGAGAAGATGTACAGAAAAAGACATTTACCAAATGGATAAACTCCCAACTAGGCAAGGTACGGACATATATCTTCACCTTATCCACCTCTTGTCTCAGAGAGATACTATTAGCGTTAATTAAAACCTTATTAGCAGTTAGACTTTGCAACTTACCTACACTGAGAAATGAAATCTGGAACTGAGAAATGAAATATGGAAAATATTTATAGAGCCAAATGTCAAAACATTTAATCAGGACTTATACAGGTTGAGGTGAAAGACACAATATCAGATTTAATGGCTCAGGATTCTCAACATTTCTGTAACAGAGGTAATTATTTTTTCAATACCTCTGTGAAACTTCTTTGAGGAAAATTGTTTGAAGTTTAACCTATTCTCCCTTTGACTGTGTTTTCCAGGCCAACAGGACACCGATAGAAGACCTGTTTACAGACCTCAGGGATGGCACAAACCTGTTATCTCTGCTGGAGGTCCTCAGTGGCACCAAAATGGTGAGTGTAGTTAATGCTTCTAATGACTGTGACTCCCTATACCACCTGTTTATAAGGACCACCTGTCTATAAGGACCACATGTCTATAAAGACCACCCATCTATAAAGACCACCTGTCTATAATGACCACATGTCTATAAAGACCACCAGTCTATAAAGACCATCTGTCTATAATGACCACCTGTCTATAAAGATCATCTGGTTATAGCTATCAGGTTATAAAACATCTGAAGTAGTGCTTTCTACATCATACGAACTTGTCTCAGAAGACTAAATGTCATAGCAGTGTTAAGTTGGTTTTGTTTTTTAATACCATAGGAACTAAGAATATAAGCTGTACTGCAACCAAAGTTATCCCATAACACAGAGTAACTTGTTGTTTATCTCCATTACAATAAAAGAATGAAGAGTGTTCTCAAGTAATATGAATAACATTCTGTTCTGTAGTAAAGTTGCCAAAAGTTTTTGAGAACATTGATGTTTGAAGAATAATTTTACAAGTTCTTCAAAGTATACAAGATTTTGACAATAGGTTTAACATACATGAAGTGAAACTAATTCTTATTCCTGTGTATTTTCCATCCTACAGAAAAGGGAGAAGGGTAAACTACGCGTCCATCACATCAACAATATAAACCAGGCCTTATTTCTACTGGCGAACAGCTTCAATGTGAGTAGGTCTGCTGGAGTTACCTCCCCTCTGTTGTAAGAACCTTATTATCTAGATATATATATAGGTTTTACAGGAAGAAGACATTAGGCTTGATTACTTATGGAACAGAAAAAATATCATTTGCAGGTTAACTCATTCACCCCTGGAATTTCAAAATGAACTATTTCAGCATTTTCAAATGTGTCTTCAGGGATGAATGAGTTTATAATGATCAGGTGCTGATGCATTTAACCATTTTTTTTTATAAATAAAATGAAAGATGTTTTGCAGAAGTTAAGCGTCATTAATTTCCTATCATAAAATTTTGATTAATATGATCATGCTGTTTTAAATGTAAAGCATATTTTATTTCATGAAATCAAAAGAAATTGAAGCATCGTCCCTTTACCATCATATTAATACACATCTTGAAACAGTTCTGAGTAATTCTGAACTAATCTTTCTAATGTGAATGCTTAGATTATGTTCAAAATTGTAATGGTATGTTTTGGTTAAAAGTAATTTGGTTTTGAGAAATCCTTAACATTTTACAGATTTTTTAAGATTTGTAGACTATTTTCCTGTTATATAAATACAAATGTGTTGTGCTAATAGCTATTTACCAGCCTCTGGTATCTCCTATTATTGTAAAGCAGTGATCAAGTTATAGAAATTCTTATAGAAAATCAGGAAAAAGCATTTAAGGATCTCCATACCACTGTCAAAAACTGTAACTAGGCATTGGACATTGTTTTGAGGCTTTACCCTTTCACCTCTGTAGACCATAATGGACTCATCCTTATCAATGCAAGGAAAAGTCTACTAAAGTTACATAGGGGTGAAAGGGTTAACATAGCTTTGATAAGATATTTTTGAAACGAAAATCAGACCTTGCCAACCTTTATGAAAAAATTATCTAATCACTTAAGGACCTCCATACCACTGTCAAAAACTGAAAAAATTCATCCTTTGCAGAACTTTCATGAAAACTGTATAAAAATGAAATAAACAAAAAAATAATCAACAACAGGGTCCTAAATATAAAAAAGAACCATCAACTGAGATTTGAACCCTTGGCCTCCAATCATTATACTGTCGCTATAACCACCTCATCTACCTGGACAACAGTAATATACTACAGTTATTAAGGGGAGGTTACTGCAAGCATGAAAAACAGTGGAACTCTTTTGTGTTTTGTCTGCAGTGAAACAGGGATCCTTAACGACCCCGTAATGTAAAATACAGGTGTACATAATTCCTCAATCATTTCTTAAAGAGAGAAAACAATAAAGATATAGTTAAGGAAATTCTGTTTGACTGACATGTAGATACCAGGTTGATTAGACATGCACGTTTTCGACAGTTATGAGTGTGGAATGTGGCTGTTTCAGTGTAAACTGGTTGGTGGTGATCCTCTGATTAAATTGGCATTATAAAACAGAAATGCCGCTCTCTTGGTGCAGAGGTACAAAAAGCAAAAACTCCTATTTTAATTCTCTTGCACCTGTAGCCAGGGCTAGTCCGATACAGGTCCAAGTGTTTCGGGAATTCTTTGGACTAACCAGCTCCAGGTGATCGGGTAGAGAGTGATTTGTTACGCTATGGTAACTATGTGGCGATATTGCTTCCTAGCTGGTTGTCTGTCTGCAGTATTGAGAATCAAATATACCATGGGATTAATCTGAATTTGTTGTATAGATGAAAAACAAACCAGTTTTCCTCACCAGCCGATATTACAGAGAATCCATTGATGTAGAAACCTTCAGTACGTCTAGGGATAAAGTTGTTTGTAGACATAGGTCTTAAGTTTGTGTGCTGGTCGTAAGAAAAAAGAGCTTATTACTTACAAACTTCAGTTATAACCTTAAGCTTTCAAGTTTGCCTCCATCTTTGGGTTGTGTCAGGTTGAGAACAGATTGGGTGTGTGAAAGTGTTACCAATATGTGGGAGTTTATATAACATACATAGCTTCTTACTTCATTCCTTCATCATCTGTAGTTTTGTTCATTTCATCAGTAAGGCACTTTTTTGAAATAATTTTTTCATTCCATTTAACTCATGCTGTCATTCAAGTATCGATGGGGATTTCTTTCAAATTTAGAAAATACCGCCAAACTTTGCCAATAATTCATTTAAATGATTTGCAAAAAAGAAAAGAAATATCCAGAAAATTGCGTCAAAATGGCACAATGTTTACTACACATGAGTGTGGTTTGCTTATTTTATCTCTTTCAATAGAAGTAAAAAGTAAAAATGAACAATGATAATTTAGTTTTTGGTATGGAGATAAAAAAACAACAACAAAAAACAAGATAATTTATTGATTGATTTGTTCTTCCCATCTGTCCACCATGTTTTACTTTTATTTATTTTCCCATTTATTCATTCATTCATGCTTTCATCCCCCTAGGCAGCATTGTTCCTCCTTGTCGTGTGACCCTGGTTCCTGTGATGCGTATCAAACATGTGTATCCCCTGACATTACACTCACAAACCGACAATATTTGTGTCACACTTAATTATGTCTGTAGTCCGTCCAATCTCTATAAGTGATGCGACATTCGTCACTTTTATCTGAGTATAAGATGAAACATGGAGATATATGGCAGAGTACCGACAAACATCTGTTTACTTTTTTTTGCCAGACGTGAGAAGTAAATGACATGTGCATGTTGTCTGTACAATGCAGTCAGCGTCATTGTACACAGGCTTTGGTTAGTATAGGGAGGCTGCCCTGCTGGAAATTCATGTTGTCTGTACAATGCAGTCAGCATCATTGTATACAGACTATGGTTAGTATAGGGAGGCTGCCCTGCTGGAAATTCATGTTGTCTGTTCAATGCAGTCAGCATCATTGTATACAGACTATGGTTAGTATAGGGAGGCTGCCCTGCTGGAAATTTATGTTGTCTGTACAATACAGTCAGCGTCATTGTACACAGACTATGGTTAGTATAGGGAGGCTGCCCTGCTGGAAATTCATGTTGTCTGTACAATGCAGTCAGCGTCATTGTACACAGACTGTGGTTAGTATAGGGAGGCTGTCCTGCTGGAAATTCATGTTGTCTGTACAATGCAGTCAGCGTCTTTGTACACAGACTATGGTTAGTATAGGGAGGCTGCAGCCCTGCTGGAAATTTATGTTGTCTGTACAATACAGTCAGCGTCATTGTCCACAGACTATGGTTAGTTTAGGGAGGCTGCCATGCTGGAAATTCATGTTGTCGGTACAATGCAGTCAGCGACATTGTACACAGACTATGGTGAGTATAGGGAGGCTGCCCTGCTGGGAATTCATGTTGTCGGTACAATGCAGTCAGCGACATTGTACACAGACTATGGTTAGTTTAGGGAGGCTGCCATGCTGGAAATTCATGTTGTCTGCACAATGAAGTCAGCGTCATTGTACACAGACGATGGTTAGTATAGGGAGTCTGCCCTGCTGGAAAGTCATGTTGTCTGTACAATACAGTCAGCGTCTTTGTACACAGACTGTGGTTAGTATAGGGAGGCTGCCCCGCTGGAAATCCATGTTGTCTGTACAATGCAGGCAGCGTCATTGTACACAGACGATGGTTAGTATAGGGAGGCTGTCCTGCTGGGAATTCATGTTGTCGGTACAATACAGTCAGCGTTATTGTACACAGACTATGGTTAGTTTAGGGAGGCTGCCCTGCTGGAAATTCATGGATGAGGCTTCAGCAATGAATTCTTGAGGATACAACATTATCTCGAATACACTCTAATTGGGAATAAAATACAGAATATTGCAGTAAGGTTGAACAATATGTCTCCATAAATCTCTGTACATGTTGGGAAACTGAATGGAATCTTTGTGGCTGTAAAGTGCAAGTATAAACAGAGTTCAGGGTGGGATGGAAAAATTGGACTGGATCCGTATCAATCTACTGTCACGGACCTTGGGACCTTATCAACCGTTTAGTCTCAATAATCTAGACTCTAAACATTTCTTCTCTGGACACATGCTATGTAAAAGATCTGGTCTTTGAAGGTGGTATCTGGAAACAACTTTCTTCAAGACAGTTTTTCAGAAACCTAATTGTCAGATTAAGGCAAGGTTCCACAGTTTGAAGAGTTACACCACGTGTCTGTTAGGCCGGTCCAGCTTTTCCATACAAGCGTTACTCAGGTACTGGCTTTAGTTATGTCTAGTACCACCTTGGAATGCTGATTAGGTTTTATCAGATACCTCCCCCCTCTCCAGTCAAAGGTCAGGTTGATGTTTTTCATCCCCCAGAGTGTGTACACATGGAGTTACTCCCCATGTAGACTTGTTAAGGAGACAGTTTGACCAAGCTAAGAGCAACACTGACTTCTTTGTTTTGACTGCAGCATTATTTGAAACAAACTTTCGTATCAAAGACTAACATTTTAACATCATACATACAAAGGTTTATGACCTGGCAAACATGAGCCCCGATCAGCGAAGACAGATTTCTCTCTCAAGCACAACCTTTGGAAAATGTGTAAAATCTAAACCTGAGTGCAATTTCAATGTCAGCAGGAAATGTCAGACTTGAAACGGAAGCATTATCATCCTCATTCACTACTTAGTGACATTCTCAAAACGTGGCCAGAGTAAAGCTTTATCTTAAAGTACTAATTTTATCCTAATTGTGATTGGTCAATGGAACGGCCTTAAATAAATGTTATAATATTGCTGATTGGTCGTATGGAACGACCTTAAATGAAAGTTACAATGATATTGATTGGTCAATGGAATGACCGTCAATAAAAGTTATACTGATGTCGATTGGTCAATGGAATGTAAAAATGGCTTTCTGAATGGCCTGTTTTTGGTTCAACTTCTTCATCCTAAAATTTTATCTGCTGTTTTCAATAGACAATGTCTTCCTATGTGACTGGATGCGGTGTCATGCTGCCTTCTCCAGGGTGTGACATTTCAGTGTATTTACACTTTAAGGTGTCCCATGAGTTGATGAATCCAAACTGGACACAGGTCAGCATCTGACCTTAGCTGTTGTGCCAAAGACATTAAACCCCCAAAAAATTGATGAAATATTTGCATGAAGACACAAACAAAAATACCAGTACATATGTAGGTGACCCAAGTAAAGAGTTATGTTCTGACATGACCTCAAACACCATGTTGTTACAATGGCATTGATTGGCTGATGGAATGTGGTGACCTTTAAACCATAGTAAACCCTGAATAATCACCACACAGCTCCTGAAACCTTTCATGTTTGTAATGAAGACAGAGTGGTGTGAAGTACTGGTACTTATACTTACCCTGTCCGCCCTACTAGTTATAGAGTGTAGTGTAGGGTGGCTTAAAGCCCCCCCCCCCTCCTCCTCCTCCTCAACATATCAATCAGGCCTACATACATACCATACCACAGACAGTAGGGTAAACAAACAGTACCACAACTGTCTGTCCAAAATACCAAGGCCAAGAAGTGATGTTTTCTAAGAAGTACATGATCATGGATTACTGAAAGTAATAAGCTCACACTTGTAGAGCTACGTTTGCAGCCCCACCCTCAAATGAAGTCTGATGGCGGGGACCCACCTCCAACAGAGATAGAACAGCACAAAACACTGTCGTTTTCCAAGAAAACAATTTCCTTTAGGTTTTCCATGTATTGACATTTGGCTTTATTGTTTTGGTAAGAAGAAGATTATTGTTCCAGATTAAGTTTTTGAAACATTTTACAAAAAAGTAAATTTATCATAATCTATCTAGGTTTCCCTTTTTCTTTTTATTCCGGACCCAAATTTTCTGCTGATGCCTTACGTAAATTTAGACTATTTGTTTTGAGTCAAAGTTTTAAAAAACATAACCATCTACATACATTTTGGCTAACTGAATCTTTCCAACGTTTTCAAAGAAAACAAAACATGCGTATGTTTTACTTGGCTTTAGCACAGATAATATGCAGAAGTAACTGTAAGATATGAAAGCGACATAAAGAAACAACACCATTTTAATTGTAGTTGTTCAGAGCGTCCCTACCTGGCAAGTTATCTCTAATACCATCCGTTTCTCTTCATTGCAACAACAACGTGTTTATAAAAAGCACTTGAAACTGTTAATTACCAGAAAGAAAATGTCAGTGGGTGTTCAAGCACGTAGTGTGAAAAGATCAGACATTTTATTTCCTACCGTTAAAACCGTTATGTTCATCTGATCTATGAACTGTGGTTTTGAATGAAACGGTACTTTGTTAGATGTCCAAGATTAGACTCGGATGTTGTAATACATTATACTGTTGTTTACCAACATCTGAAATACTCTTTTGAAAATATGTTGTTTGAGAAACTGTTAACAGTCCTGACAGAAGGAGATGTAGAAAAAGGATTTTTTGCTTTCCCCGAAGGAAATGAGACTTACAGATTCTTTGGAATCAGAAATTTCTCAGATCTATCAAAGGTTCTAAATAGCATACTCTATGTACTCATTTTGGACAGAAAATAAGAAAGACAAAATACTTTTCACCAGGTATTAACCTTTGGTGGATTTTCCAATTTTGCAATTTAGAAAAAAGATATGTTAATGTTCCCAAGACCCTTAAACATTTTTTTCAGCTAAGTTAGATGTGACTGAAAAATTGGATGCCCCGAGATACTTTCATCTTCAGATTGTAGCTTTGGGTTCATCTTCAGATCGTGGCTCCCCCTATTGACAAGTTGAGGTATTGATCCTCCTAGCTTAGTGTGTCGGTGATCTATTAGCACTTACACTGATCATGTCCTGGGTCGGGGTTAGGATTTAATGCAACTATTTAACACCCATCTCGAGTTCATCAAAGCCTTGTCAACTTAATTACAATTTATTGTAAAATTTGATCTGTTGTGTTTCCATAAATATTAACCTGTAAAACTAAGTGTACACAGAGAGGAATTAATAATGATTACTTCAAAGCAAGAAGAACAAAAATATTTGTCAATTTCCAAAAATGATTTTCAAATATGTCAATTTAAAAAAAATTGGCAATATTGACATAGTAAGGTTATAAAGCTAGGAATAACTTATTTTGTAAAGCTTATTTTTCTAAAGCTTTTCAAATTCATAATTATAACCTAGTTTTATGTCACAATGTAATTATATACATATAATCATCAAAAGATAAGAAGCACATATATATATTTCCGGATTATTTTATTTTGAATATCTTAAATGTTGATTAACAACTTTTTAAGTGAACAAGACATTCATTAAGTTGGTCCTGAGTAGAGTGTGGTTGTGTTACCCATCCTACTGACCTTGTACACAACAGTCCATGGTCAGCAGTCTAGTAAGAATGTAAGGAAAGAACTACCTTGTCTCACTGTCAATCAACAAACTGTTTAATTGTTGTGTTAGAAACTCCCATGTTGTGACTTTTTAAGTAAGAAAGGTAATAGAATTTTATTTCCAAGGTATTCCTAGAAAATTAGCCTCAAAAAAGATGAAAATTGAAAAACTGATTTTGTTGACATTGTGAGAGGGTAAAGGGTTCATTCATTCATATAGAATGTGTATTAAAGAATAAAATTAAATGTTACAAATTGAATATGAATACAATTGATTGTTTTCAGATCAAGTTGGTGAACATTAGCAGCAATGACATAGTGGACGGTAACCCCAAACTGACCCTCGGACTCGTCTGGAGCATCATCCTGCACTGGCAGGTAAGTCACATGACCTCAAGGTCTTATGACCTTTAAATAAATAGATAGGTCAAATATAGGCCAGGTAAAGGTATAGGTGAAACAAAAGTCATCTCAGGTGAACATAAACCGTAACAACCTTCAAGTAAAACTATAGGTCAACCACAAACAGCCTTCAGGTGGACATATTATTCAAACCCTATAACAACCCTCAAGTAAAATTATAGGTCAACCACAAACAGCCTTCAGGTGGACATATTATTCAAACCCTATAACAACCCTCAAGTAAAATTATAGGTCAACCACAAACAGCCTTCAGGTGGACATATTATTCAAACCCTAACAACCCTCAAGTAAAATTATAGGTCAACCACAAACAGCCTTCAGGTGGACATTTGAGTTGAAATTCTGATGACCTTCAGGTAAAAATATTGGCTAGCCACATGTAACTGTTTTGTTGACCATTGTGACCTGCAAGAAAAAAAAGGTTGGCAGAGCAAACAAAAATTGTGTCAGCTTTCAAATACATATTCTTTTGGCTGAAACTTGACAAAAACTTCCTGGAAGTAACTTTTGAGGAGATGTTAAATAAAGGAAAGACTTTCTAATCATAAATGGTCTTCTGTTTGACTGTTAGATGTAATGGTCTGCTTGTATGTCTGTAGGTAAAGGATGTGATGAAGGACCTGATGGATGACCTTAAACAGACCAACCTTGAGAGGACTCTACTGGCCTGGTGTAGACAGTCCACACTAGAGTAAGTAGGCTTAGACTGGACAGGACTCTACTGGCCGGGTGTAGGCAGTCCACACTTGAGTAAGTAGGCTTAGACTAGAGAGGACTCTTCTGGCCTGGTGTAGGCAGTCCACACTAGAGTAAGTAGTCTTAGACTAGAGAGGACTCTACTGGCCTGGTGTGGGCAGTTCACACTAGGGTAAGTAGGTTTAGACTGGAGAGGACCCTACTGGCCTGGTGTAGGCAGTCCACACTTGAGTAAGTAGTCTTAGACTAGAGAGGACTCTACTGGCCTGGTGTGGGCAGTTCACACTAGAGTAAGTAGTAAGTAGGCTTAGACTGGAGAGGACTCTACTGGCCTGGTGTAGGCAGTCCACACTTGAGTAAGTAGGCTTAGACTAGAGAGGTCGCTACTGGCCTGGTGTAGGCAGTCCACACTAGAGTAAGTTGGCTTAGACTGGAGAGGACTCTACTGGCCTGATGACGGCAGTCCACACTAGAGTAAGTAGGCAAAGACTAAAGAGGACTCTACTGGCCTGGTGTAGGCAGTCCACGCTAGGGTAAGACTAGAGAGCTACTGGCCTGGTGTAGACAGTCCACACTAGAGTAAGTAGGCTTAGACTGGAGAGGACTCTACTGGCCTGATTAAGGCAGTCCACACTAGAGTAAGTAGGCAAAGACTAAAGAGGACTCTACTGGCCTGGTGTAGGCAGTCCACACTAGAGTAAGAAGGCTTAGACTGGAGAGGACTCTACTGGCCTGATGTAGGCAGTCCACACTTGAGTAAGGAGGCTTAGACTAGAGAGGACTCTACTGGCCTGGTGTAGGTAGTCCACACTAGAGTAAGTAGGCTTAGACTGGACAGAACTCTACTGGCCTGGTGTAGGCAGTCCACACTAGAGTAAGTTGGCTTAGACTGGAGAGGACTCTACTGGCCTGATGAAGGCAGGCCACACTAGAGTAAGTAGGCAAAGACTAAAGAGGACTCTACTGGCCTGGTGTAGGCAGTCCACTCTAGAGTAAGTAGGCTTAGACTGGAGAGGACTCGACTGGCCTGATGAAGGCAGTCCACACTAGAGTAAGTAGGCAAAGACTAAAGAGGACTCTACTGGCCTGGTGTAGGCAGTCCACTCTAGAGTAAGTAGGCTTAGACTGGAGAGGACTCTACTGGCCTGATTAAGGCAGTCCACACTAGAGTAAGTAGGCAAAGACTAAAGAGGACTCTACTGGCCTGGTGTAGGCAGTCCACTCTAGAGTAAGTAGGCTTAGACTGGAGAGGACTCTACTGGCCTGGCCTGGTGTAGGCAGTCCACACTAGGGTAAGTGGGTTTAGACTGGAGAGGACTCTACTAGCCTGGCATAGGCAGTAAACGCTAGGGTAAGTAGGCTTAGACTGGAGAGGATTCTACTGGCCTGGTGTAGGCAGTCCACACTATAGTAAGTAGGCTTAGCCTGGAGAGGATTCTACTGGCCTGGTGTAGGCAGTCCACACTATAGTAAGTAGGCTTAGCCTGGAGAGGATTCTACTGGCCTGGTGTAGGCAGTCCACACTATAGTAAGTAGGCTTAGACTGGAGAGGATTCTACTGGCCTGGTGTAGGCAGTCCACACTATAGTAAGTAGGCTTAGCCTGGAGAGGATTCTACTGGCCTGGTGTAGGCAGTCCACACTATAGTAAGTAGGCTTAGACTAGAGAGGACTCTACTGGCCTGGTGTGGGCAGTCCACACTAGGGTAAGTAGGTTTAGAGTGGAGAGGACTCTACAAGCCTGGCATAGGCAGTAAACCCTAGGGTAAGTAGGCTTAGACTAGAGAGGACTCTACTGGCCTGTTGTAGGCAGTCCACACTAGAGTAAGTAGGCTAGACTAGACAGGACTCTACTGGCCTGGTGTAGGCAGTCCACACTAGAGTAAGAAGGCTTAGACTGGAGAGGACTCTACTGGCCTGATTAAGGCAGTCCACACTAGAGTAAGTAGGCAAAGACTAAAGAGGACTCTACTGGCCTGGTGTAGGCAGTCCACACTAGGGTAAGTAGGTTTAGACTGGAGAGGACTCTACTAGCCTGGCATAGGCAGTAAACACTAGGGTAAGTAGGCTTAGACTAGAGAGGACTCTACTGGCCTGGTGTGGGCAGTCCACACTAGGGTAAGTAGGTTTAGACTGGAGAGGACTCTACAAGCCTGGCATAGGCAGTAAACACTAGGGTAAGTAGGCTTAGACTAGAGAGGACTCTACTGGCCTGGTGTGGGCAGTCCACACTAGGGTAAGTAGGTTTAGAGTGGAGAGGACTCTACAAGCCTGGCATAGGCAATAAACACTAGGGTAAGTAGGCTTAGACTAGAGCGGCCTCTACTGGCCTGGTGTGGGCAGTCCACACTAGAGTAAGTAGGCTTAGACTGGAGAGGACTCTACTGGCCTGGTGTAGGCAGTCCACGCTAGGGTAAGACTAGAGAGGACTCTACTTTGGAACTTCATTAGAATATATTGAACACAAAGTTTGGAACTTCATTGGAGTATATTGAACACAAAGTTTGGAACTTCATTGGAATATATTGAACACAGCCTTTGGAAATTCATTGGAGTATATTGAATACAACCTTTGGAAATTCATTGGAGTAAATTGATTACAAACTTTGGAAATTCATTGGAGTATATTGAACACAGCCTTTGGAAATTCATTGGAGTATATTGAACACAAAGTTTGGAAATCCATTTGAGTANAGAAAGAACTCTACTGGCCTGTTGTAAGCAGTCAACACTAGAGTAAGTAGGCTTAGACTAGACAGGACTCTACTGGCCTGTTGTAGGCAGTCCACACTAGAGTAAGTAGGCTTNGCCTTTGGAACTTTACTGGATTATATTGAGCACAAACTTTGGAAAATCATTTGAGTATATTGAACACAGCCTTTGGAAATTCATTAGAGTATATTGAACACAAACGTTGGAAATTCATTGGAGTATATTGATCACAAACATGGAAATTCATTGGAGTATATTGAGCACAAACTTTGGAAAATGATTTGAGTATATTGAACACAGCCTTTAGAAATTCATTGGAGTATATTGAACAGAGCCTTTGGAACTTTACTGGATTATATAGAGCACAAACTTTGGAAAATCATTTGAGTATATTTAACACAGCCTTTGGAAATTCATTAGAGTATATTGAACACAAACGTTGGAAATTCATTGGAGTATATTGATCACAAACATGGAAATTCATTGGAGTATATTGAACTAAGCCTTTGGAACTTTACTGGATTATATAGAGCACAAACTTTGGAAAATCATTTGAGTATATTGAACACAGCCTTTGGACATTCATTGGAGTATATTGAACACAGCCTTTGGATATTCATTGGAGAATATTGAACACAAACTTTGGAACTTCATTGGAGTATATTGAACACAGCCTTTGGATATTCATTGGAGAATATTGAACACAAACATTGTAAATTCATTGGAGTATATTGAACACAAACATTGGAAATTCATTGGAGTATATTGAACACAAACTTTGGAAATTCTTTGGAGTATATTGAACACAGCATTTGGAAATTCATTGGAGTATATTGAACACAAACTTTGGAAATTCATTGGAGTATATTGAACACAAACTTTGGAACATCATTGGAGTATATTGAACACAAACATTGGAAATTCATTGGATTATAGTGAACACAAACATTGGAAATTCATTGGAGTATATTGAACACAAACTTTGGAAATTCATTGGATTATACTGAACACAAACTTTGGAACTTCATTGGAGTATATTGAACACAAAGTTTGGAAATTCGTTGGATTATAGTGAACACATTCATCGTGTATATTGAACAAAGCCTGTTGGATTTCATTGGAGTATGTTGAACAACCTTTGGAACTTCTTTTGAATGTCCTTAATACGACCTTTGGAACTTATTTCCAGTATATTAAAATTCATTGGAATATGTTAAACACAACTTAAGAATTTCTGTGGGATTTATTAATTACAATCATTGGAATTTCACCAGGATTTATTATATGAAAATTTTGAACTTCATTTGGATATCCTTTGATGGTCTATTTCTTTCTTTCCTGAAGCATCTCAGGAAGTTTGGGAGTGATATGCACTGTTGATTCATCAAACCGACACATTTGATTGGTAGACTACTGTTGATATATGAAACCTACATATTTAATTGGTTGGCTGTCAGTACTAGTATTGGGAAGCTATATCACACAAACAAGTAGAGTGGTGGAACAGTTCATTTGTTACATTGTAGAGTTGGTCAGTTTTCAGAAGTGGCTACCAGGCCAGTGACATCAGTATGGGGATAGCAGTAACCTGGTCCGACTACCAATGATCCTATTCTGATGATGTAGACTTTCAAATGTTGGTCCTGATTTCTTGAGGGGAACATTAAGTTGACTGACATAGTTGTATTTGTACTTCAAATTAATTTACAAATACATTGTACCTATATTTTTTTTTTTTTATAATTTTATTAAGCATTTTCATAATTCAAGAAAAACAAAAAAGGTAAAAACTGAGTTTGGTAATATAACTATACCATTTTCGTTTAGTATAAATGTTTTGGAGTTCGAAAAAAACAACCTAGTGTTTATTTATAGCTAGTCTAAAGACAGTTCACACCAGGGTGACCTATAGACCCATATTCACACCTTATGTTCTAGTTCCATAAACCTCCACCAGGAGTCGGGAACAGTTTGATGTTAGGCAAACCTCCCAGGCGACTAATGGCTATCAAACTGTTTGTGCATCACATGTTTGGGTCTAACACACCACATTACACATCAACGTTTCAGTCTGCCTCACAAAAAGTGGGAAATGGGGGCATCGTGCTGTGACAGAGTGACACAACTGCCACTCCGACATCTGTGGCTCCATCTGGCTTCACGCTGTAACTGTACATGTGAGATTGTCAGTTTGTCACGATAAAAAATTATTTGTCTCTGTGGTTTCCGTCAACACATTATGTGATCATTTAAAGTTTAATTTGTATTTAAGTGTTACAGCAGTAGCACATATTTTGAATTATAATAACAAACCATGTTTTATGGAAACCCACAATGTTATGGCGAGAGAGAGGGAGACACAGCAGTCGAAATACTGAATTATATTTTGTCAGTTTAAATGATTTTAAAGGTATAGCACATGTGTATATACCAAACTAGATATTGGAGTGGTTGTTTCTTTGCTTATCTTCAGATAGCCTAGCATTGAAGGAAAATGTCTGCAATGTATCATTCAGTTATATTTGAGATGTTTGGGTCCAATAAATTTATGGAATAAAACAATTTTCAGATTGAAGAGACAAGACTAATCACTCAAAATTCTTCTTCAGATGGTAATTGTCTGGTATTCCAGATAGTTGGAGTACAGGTGAAGGAAAATCCACAATGGCTGCCACTGTCCTTCAGAGATTTTGTGATTTTACTGGCATTACTCATATTTGACATTTCTCTATGCTTTATTGATAGATACAAAAATGTAGAGATCAAGAACTTCACATCAAGCTGGAGATCTGGACTGGCTTTTAATGCCCTTCTCCATCACTTCAGGTAGGTAATCATGGTAGTGCTCCCATGGTAACCAATGACCTTGAGTTTCCTGTTGCTCTTTTATAACAGGTGACTCTTAATCATAATCATATATGTGTCATCTAATGATTAGCAAGAAATGATAGCAAATTTTAAAACTTTGAAGAGAAAATTAATTTTGATAATCCATAGACGAAATGTACTGTTTTAATTTTTGCATGTTTCAACAAGTATTTGCGGAATTGAACTAAGTTTCAAATGCTTCTTGAACTCAATGTTTTTCAGACCAGAGCTGTTCGACTACAATGACCTCCTAACCAACAGCAATGAGAAGAATCTAGACCATGCTTTCAGCATTGCACATGACACACTAGGCATTGACCGTCTGCTCGATCCAGAGGGTAAGTCACCAGATGGGTCACTGGAAAAATCACTACGTTCTGTCCAAAATTCTTTGATTTTAATTCAGAAAAAAATAACAATAAAATTATAACATGCTGAGATCATTTATACAGCTAGGTAGACTGGATTTACCAGGGTAATTGTGTTGTTTAAGGACAATACATGGCTGCTAAATGTAAGAAAAATAAATTTGTTTCCCTTTGAAATAACAGTTTTTTTCAGGAATCTTTAATTTTACTTAGCCTTGTAAGGTGAAGAAGTTAATAATTGATTCCATGTTAAATTGAAGAAGTCAAAAAATGTGTTTGTATGTACTAGTTATACAATGTATCACCAAAGTGTATACAAAAAGTCCTTTAAAGCTCAGTTTGTTTATTTGTTATCTTTGCCTGTTACAGATGTGGACGTGGAAAACCCAGACAAAAAGTCAGTGATGATGTATCTGATGTGTTTCTTCCAAGTACTGCCCCATAGTAACATCACTCCCACGGAGGAGGTCCCTGTCACACCTTCTACCGCTAACTCCACCCACTCGGCCAACTCGGCCAACTCAGCCGACACCTTCACCTTCACGGAGAAAATCACAAAGTCGGAGGTAGGTAGTCGGAAAGATCAGGATCCATAGTTCTTAAATAGATATGTCAAATGTTAAACTCTCTGGCTTGGCTGACATGATTCTGATTCTCTGATCAGTTTTACAGAGCAGAAACAAATTTTATGGGATAAATGACTTAATGTTCTTATGCAAATACTCTTTAGTAATATCCAGATGGTTTAGTGAATCTCATATATCTCATGGAGAGTCAAACATAATTCGATTATTATAGCTTCAACGGTTTCAATTACCACTCACAAAAGTACCTTATTCCACAGTATGTTAATAAAGCATTGCAGTACAAACAACGTTTATTTAGAATGAAATCAAGTTTGCATAAAATTAACAATGGTTACAGTTTTATGTAATCAGAAATCTAATTATGACAATTGTATTTGGATCACCCGAGTCACTTTCCCTGAAACATGAGGGCATTGTGTATTGGATGCTTAATGCTAGCTTCCTCTAAAAGTATAGAACACTACATACATGCATTCCAGTACTTTCACCAGTAGATATAATACCCTCAATCTGGTTCTCTCAAAAACAGCATGGGTTTCAGTTTTGAATCAGTGATGAAGGATGTGTATATGCTCTGAGTTTACTCTGCTGACATGCTCTATTTGAAAAGATGTCCTTTTTGCGCAAAAAGATCTACATATAAAAAAAAATATGTTTAAAAGTTGTCTTTTCATGAAATGCTAAGTGGATGCATGCTCTTTTCAAAAAAAATCTTGCTGTATGAAGAAACAAACACAATCTAGTGACTGGAATAAGCACTGGGGCCTGGCCCCACCCAGGGGACTTATTCCTATAGTCATACATGGAAACAATTGTACTTAGTCCAATAGTAATAACATGGAAACGATTGGTATCCCCACTCTACACATGTAAATCTCAAACACATTTGCTATTAAGCATCCTTGGTCCTTTAGTTGAGAATCAGGTGTTAAATAAAGCAAGTCTTGTCTTTTTGGATGCTGAGCCCAATATTGAAAACCTTAATGAGAATATTTGTCCGTTATTGCTTAAATATCCAGGTGAGTGTGATACAGGCCTTTTAGGCCTCTTGTTCACCATACTGTGCACTTTTCCATTGGAATAACATGTCTTGGTTGCACTGATATTTGACGCAAGTATTTATTACGTTGTCACAACGGTATAGCCCTACAACAATTGACTGTCAAGGTCACAAGTATCACATGACGGATAAACATCCTAAGTTATGCAAATCAGCAAATCAAACGCACACAGGGGGCGGATCTTTAGCTCCCTACCTGCTAGTGTTACCTAACAAATACAGGTGTGACCAACTTAAACGAGATCTGCCTTGAAATGTACCTGGATTAGCATTCAGGTGCAGAACCTTGAAGTAAGGTTTTTAGAAACTTTGATCTTAATAGCATAGATATTTGCATATCCATTGATAGTGACCTTTGACCTGAAGGTCATGTGGATATTGGAATACCCTTTAAAGATGACCCCCGCTGACATTGAGATCATGTGTCCTGTCATAGCTAACATTGAAATTATAGATTCTTAGTGAAAAGGGATATCTTTATGGCAGACTGTTTAAAAAGAATATCATGTTTGACATTTAAGTCTTAGTATTAACTGTTGTGTCATCTGCCGATATCTATCGAAATAAAAACCCCACTCTGCAAGCAGTATTATGTGGCTGCTGAAAAGGAAAACAACAGTAATTCTAGTATTGTTGAACAACAGTTTTTTTATACTTATAAATAAAGATACATTGATACGGTTTATATATATATATATATAAACTCAGTAACGTAATCACCACAGAGATTTTACTGACGCTGTTTGAACAAAAAACCACCCTGGCATTTGTTGAATCTGATTACAGTAGGAGAAGAAACAATTTAGATGGAATAAACAGACAAAAATCTGAGAGAAACGAGAAAAAACAAACGAATTAACAGAATGCTAGTGAAGCACGTTGAGTGCCTAGACTTGGAGAAAGTGTCCTGCAATTTTGATAAAACAATTCAAACAATTAACTAAAATCTGAAAATGTCTTATCTATAATGCTTCAAGAATAAAATGTTATCCTTAATAAATCTTTAACAGAAAAATTAATGAATTTGAAGCCTTTGATTAAATATATAAGTGTGTTTGCATGAAAATAATGTGAAAAATGGCAGGTCCTTGAAACTATTTTCAATTTTGATAAAATAATGAAAGTAGTTCATATTCATGAGAAATTTGAGTGTGATTTTGAAAATATAACTTGATGAAATAGCTGAGGTCTTAAAAATCCAGCAATCAAAGTTTAAGTTAAACTGATATCATAACCGAGGAGGTTGTTGTTATCTACCGTAATGTACCTGATGAGTTTAACATTGAGTGTTACATGCATTTGAATGTAGTCTCTCCGGGAAGACACCACAAGTGTGTTTACGGACAGATTATCAGGGTTCCGGTGTATGTGCAGGCCGATGAGATTCCTATTGACTTAAAAATCAACCATGGACCTCCGATTAGGTAGCGACAGAACATTCCTAGGCTTGATGGTGATTAAGGCTCTTTTAGAATTTCGGTTGGATAATCACAACTGCAATAACCCCTGGTTAATTAAGAGTATTCTGTGCATGAAGTGGTGTTTTTACATCATTTGGGTTGAAGTGTCTTTGTTAGAATCATTTGTCATTATTTCCTGTAAGAGTACATTGGCTACAAGTAGAAGCAGGCAACTGTTGGTGTACAAGTTTAAGAGTTGAGGGAAAAGTACATTGAGATAGAAGTGAGGGAGGGTGATGGGCTTATAATATCAGCACTGGATTCTTAAAACACCTTCTTATAAATTACTTAGAGTCTTAGGGTTAGGATGTTTGGTCAGCAGCTTGCAGGGATGAAAAGCTATCAAGTTTTTTCTTTCTTTTGATGAATAGCCTTGAACCACTTTCAGGGTCACAGGGTCAAATTTGTTTAAACATTTAAGTAATTTTCTTTGAATATACGAGTGGCCTGAGGTGATGATACTTGGTCTTTAGAAATCTGGAATGAATGACTTGCTACACTTAAACAACCTTGACCCCCATTCAAGGTCACAGGGGTCAAATGTATTAAAAATGTTTAACGTCTTCTAAGTAACCAAGGGGCCTTGGGTTATGATATTTGGCAGGTAACATGCTTGGGTTGGAAAGGTTTAAAACATTAAAACTACTTCTACTGAATAATAAAGAGACCAATGGTCATTATATTGCTCATAAGGTATGCTGGGATGAAGAGTTATCAAAGCTGTTCAAATATATGACCTTGGTCTTCTTTCATGGTGACATGTGAAACTCTTTATGGTAGGGGTGGCATTTTATGCATGACATGTGTCCAGTCATGATATGTTAACTTTTCTGCAAACTTCTGGAAACAATTTAAATGGTCTAACCCCTAATAAGACCTGCAGCCTATAATTGTCATTGTTTGAATATTGACGAAATAATATAAATTAAACAAGAAAATGATTTGTCAATGCTTGTATACAGCGGAAAAATGTTAGGACTTTCTACTTAAAAGAGACAATACTTGTTTTGTTTGGCTGGATTGGTGTTTATTCTTTTTTGTATGAGACTTGAATGCTTGAATTATTCAATCATATACATGTACGGATGGCTGTGTATGAAAGCTAGTTAAAAAGCAGGAACATTTAGAAAAGGTTTAACCTTAAGAGGTTACCATCCCCTACCATGTTGTAGACAGTATCATACTGTTCTTATCAAAGATTTGGACACTTTGTATTGATCCCTTCCTTGTGAGTCAATCTGAGCAAGCTGATAATGATAATACTGGCAATCACTGTAACTCGTACACACAATACTCCGCCCACCCCTTTTGATTTTGTGTGTGTGATTTCTACGCTAATCTGCATATCTAAACACCCGGTGCTTATACACACAGTGCAGATATAAATAACAAACATGTACCCGACCTAGTGTGTAATACCCGTTAAAAGACTATAAGCTTATCAGGGTATGTCACATTCATTGAGGAATCGGCCTGTCATTGGTGAACTAGCTAGTACTCCAGAACGGGTCGTTGTAACGTGTGGTGCAGTCTGATACTCGGGAGTCAGAGAGAGTGGCGGTATCGGAGGCATTGTATCGGTACAGACCGTAGCTTGTGTGTCTGTTAGATTGTGTTGTATAATACTACCTCGGCTCCACACACAGAGACCGTGTCACCGGTCATGTCTCACACCGGGTATGTATGTTATCAGTTAAACCACATTTGTCTTGCTGTCCCCATGTTGTTGTCTCTCGATCCTTTTAAATGCTTTGTTGAAAGTTTTCTTCTGATCTTGAATTCACCCATGGATTCCTGGTACCCTAATTCAGCCCCATATACTGTGTAAGTACAGTGCGGGATATTAGAGTGTATGGGTGGGACCCTAGGTGGTGTAGCTCTTTACTTCTCTAGTACGTAGTGATGAAAGTCTGACTGATTTGTGTAAACTGTCAGTGACTTCTTTCCTCACACATGGTAGGTATTTGGAGACTATTTTTACTCCAGATCGGGTTTAGATTGTACACATTCTGGCTGTCACTGTAGTGTTTACCATTTTCCTGTGACCCTGTCAGACACATGGTACCACATGGTATACAGGACCTATCATTTCTGACTATTTCTCTCTCTGGTTCTCTCACCGGTACTTCAGGGTACATATTGAAGAATAGTGACCCTTGATATGACTGTGGACTGTTGATCCTGGGTACTATGTGATACTACTGCAGACAAGTGACTGTTGTAACAGAGGACTATAGTACTATGTATCCTGACCAGGCCAGCTGACTTGTGTTGGCGCTGATAGGCCTCAGATTGGATGTCCAGCTGCCTCCATAGTGTTGATGTGGAGTGATAATTCTCAAATGTGTGGCTGCAGGTACAGTGTAATGGGCCTGGCCTGACCAGATCTGCCATGTGATTGGCTAGCATTACAGCTAGCTATTACCTACTACACATGTAGCTACATACAAACTGGTGTTGCACATGCCTCTTCTGTTTACATACAGATATCATGGGACAGGACATTCAACTTGACAGGAGACTCATCTTCAGGCTGGAAGTAATACAAGAACAAAAGTTCACAGGAAGAGGTGCCCAAGGTTACGAGCTTGTGGAAGTGAGCTAATTGTGATAATAAGCATCAGATGAAGATTTGATGTTATCCCTGTGTGTGAAAATGTATCAGTTCCAGAAGATAGAACCTGAGAGGGGGTCTCAGGAATGGCAGAAATAAATAGTGTGATAATTTGGTGAAATTCTCACTAAACTATACAGTGCTTGACCCTAACATACAAGGGCAGACCTTTATATTTGGCACCCCTGTCTGTGGTTATACACTGCATATTCAAAACGTCTTACATTGTTGGACCCTGACTTAAAAAGGGTCGACCGTTGTACCTGTATTTACAGGGCAGACCATTGTACCTATCCCCAAGGGAGATTGGGTCTATAAATTTACAACATCCTCCCTGTAACCCCAGGGGCATCTCCCCGTGTCTTCCACACCAACATTCTAGCCAGTGCTCCGTGTTTAGTTTGAGGTGCAGTGGAGCCCATTGATATCAGAGAAATCTCTAGTGTACACGGTGTGTTTATATGTATACACTCTTTCTGGGATTACCTGCAATCATACATGTATTTTCACTGGGTTGTGAAAAGCCCAACTGGAATTCCCGATTTAACCTGTGTATGTGTTGTGTGTTTATATACAACTTGGGATTTATACCTTATACAGTACCAGTGATACGTTCCTCTGATGTACACACTGGGAATATAAGTCATTGATCAAGTGTTGTGTTTGTTGTGCACAGAAAAGGTGCATTGATTTGGATGGAAATGTATTACACCTGTGAGTACCTGTGTTTTACAGGTGTAATCAGGTGATAACAACAGATCTACCTGGGGATAGAAATCCTGATCATCGGGATTCTTAATCTATACCTCCAAGTAAAGGAGTCGAACAAAGGAGTCTGCACGATTCTTTTGAAGTTAATATTTACGCTACAGGAGCATCCTCGGAAATACAGCTGTTTCTGTTTTTCCTCTGTTGCGGATTATTACATAACATTGTGTTTGTGTGTTTCACTGATAGACCTGTCCAACGAGTGAGTTGGCAGGGGACACTGGGATTTAAGGCTTAGAGCATATTGCCAAGCTAATTGACTTGAGAAATACAACACATCATCCCCATGTCTCTCACATATACAAAGCAGGCTCCATTTCTAGCATTGATCAAGTGCCACATTCTTTGAATGTAAAAGTATAGAAAATATTTGGCAGAAATTTGTGTTTTTCTCTCTACTTTTTCAGTGTCAATGTATGATATAATGTGTCTGTAACTAAAAACCTGCGACAAAGATGACAGGCCAATTGTGTTTCGTTGTTGTAGACGGCTATGTCCCTGAGTAGTTCGTCAAGTCATCATAGCACCATGAGTTCAGCAGCAACGTCTGTTGATCTGATGTCGTACCAGGACGACATGGAAAATGTCTTAACCTGGCTCCTCGAAGCTGAGGAAACCATGGAGAAACAGGAACCAATCGCAAGTGACGTTGGCAAGGTCAAGGAACTGTTCAACCAACATGAGGTAGGTACTCATTTATTTCTACAAGGGTCAGAGGTGAAAGGTCATTTAAATATGGGTCAAGTGAAGGGATGTAGCTTCTGTTAATAATTTGAGAGAATGTTTTAGTAATTTGTATAAATCAATGACGTTGATATGTAGAGTTACTCAAATCTGTAACCTTGACACTTTACAACTTTACAGCATTGGACATCAGTGTTCAAATCGGTGACCTTGACACTTCATGACATATTTAAGATACAGGTGTTTTAATCAACGATCTTGACATATTTTACAACGACCTTAACCAGACTAAATTAATTTTTTTAGAGGCCTGTCCCAGTGTTTATAGTGTTTTCCTCAGAGGATTATTGCAGGTTTGTCTCCTTTGCATTGTCTGTCCTGTTTTCTGTTTACATGTTTTCTTATTAAATTGTAACCATGTATTCCATATGTCACCTTAACCCAGACACCCCTAAAGTCACATTTGAACCTTACCAAATCGAAACTGGGCAAGTCCAGTTTAGATATAGGGGTGAATGAGTTAAAGCCTGGTTATAATAATCCTCACTTCATTTGTCAACTAGCATATATATTGCCATAACTTTTCAATGTCTTTAAAAACTTTTGTAAGACACCCTGTAAGTATTGCCAAATTCTTTATTATAAAGCCAAAATACAGTTGGACACATGATAGCAGTAAGATTAGAGGCTATATAACTTACACCTCTTGTTGAAGTACATCGCAGTAGGATTAGAGAGTTCATTTATACAGTTATCTGTGTACGGGGTAAATCATCAGGTCATTAGTGTGATTTATTGACCTGATAACAGATATAGTAACAGAGATAGTCAGGGCAAGCCATACATCAAGAGTTTTATAGTATTCCCAGTATATTTTAGGGGTTGATTTTTGCTGGTTTCTCAAGGTCAAAATTATCAACTTGCTTACGAGTACTTGCTCCTTGACAGGACAAAGGCTGCTATTATATATTTGTTAGTTAAATTGTGGATGATTTGTTAGTAAGGTCTAATTTTGCTTGTGGAGAGGTTGTCAAGGTCATGAGGTCAATCAGTACACTACATATTGGATATATATATTTATTTACCCCTGAAGACACATTTGAACTCTTCCAATTCAAAGGTTGGATTTGTTCATTATGAAATTTTAGGGGTGAATGAGTTAAGCTATGATTGTAGAACCGTAGGCTTTACCCTGACCCTATAAGTAATTAACATTTCTCATTGAGAGTGAAGTCCTATGATAGCAATTCTGGTTTCAGGACTAGGTGATGTGGTTTAGAAAAAGGATGAAGAGGGGGAGGGGAAGGGGAAAGTACAGGAGGTATGGCAGAAGGGAGAAGGAAGGGGAAAGAGTGCTTATTAAAAATTATGGCAGGTTTAATAAAATCACATCTTACAATGGACCCGTAATAACTGGTTAAAGTTTAAAGTGCATGTTACCATGATCATGAAAACGAATTGTTATTTAAATACATATACCAGTCATGAAAAAAATGGGTCACATTTATTGCTTCAGAAACTGATGACAATGGCTGTTGATAGACGTAGCATTCTGAATGTGCCAGGCAGGCGGCTATCACATACCAAATCTTTGTTTTTTATCGAAAAACAGTTCTGTACATAATCACATGTCAAATCTCGGTCATGTCAAAATTTGAAAAAAAGAAGTGTTATGTTTTGAAAATTTAGTAGCTGTTCTTGTATAGCTTATTTTAGAATCATTGTAGATAGGCATACATGTGTAACTAATTGTTGAGGGGAAAAAACGCCCTGTCAAATATTTGTCATGTAATCAAATATACTGTATATTTATCTGTTGGTGAGAGAATTTATCAATGGAAGTTTTTTTAAAGAAATTTAACTGTGTTATCAATATGTTCGCCTGTATGATTACTGTATAGTGCCTATAAGGGAATTAACCTATCATGAAATAAAGTACCTAGAATTTTTCTGAATTTAGAGGTAATTGACTGCATAGAAATTGTTTTTTCTTTCAATTACAAAACATATTTGATTATATTAATTGAACCAACTGGACATTGTTTGGACAAAGAGAAACAAACAAGACTTAAGGCTCCTTGAGTGTAACTGGTGCTGACATTGGTAAACATAAAGAGAAAACACTCACCATTACAAAGTTTTGATGTTGACGGGTGAAAGTTTATTTGTATTCAATTGGAGAATTCACATTTGTAGTGATTTTTGGTAAAATCATGATACCTGTATTACTTAAGGTCTTTATAGGGTGTTTTCTGTCAGGTTGTAATTGTTTTCAAAAATAGCCGTTTTGGAATCAAATCAACAAAATTCTACGAAATGTAATTATGTCATTTTTTTTCTGTTTGCATATCTTTATAGAAATAATTAGAAAGAGCGTTAATTGTCATTAGGTGGCAGCAGTTATAACTGAAATAACGACTTGTGTGTTCTGGAGTTTTTATCAATTCTGTAAAGTTTGTCAATGACCTGGAGGAGGAATAACTGGGTTGATTAGAATGATAGAACGGCTGGCTGGAATGGTAAACTGTGTTACGAATGGATTGAATTAGATTCCTTTCCTAAGGCTTAAATAAACATCTTTATGTGCCACAATAAAACTCATTCTTTTTGTGACAAAGACTGGTACCATTTGTAGAATCTTGAATTGATCAAGAAGAAAATGATGATTTTGATCTCTTGCTTGTCTGATTCTGGTTTCCAACTTGGGAGAGCTGGACGGTGTAGAAAAATGCAGCTTGACAGTGCTATAGAACTTAGGGGCTGGTAGCCAGTGCCAGTCTATAGGGGCCGGTAGCCAGTTCCAGTCTATAGGGGCCATTAGCCAGTGCCAGTCTATAGGGGCCGGTAGCCAGTGCCAGTCTATAGGGGCCGGTAGCCAGTGCCAGTCTATATGACTAGTACTATAACTATGTAAATATTGCTTTTAAACCACAGAAAGCCATAATTTCTGCAGAATTCTTACTGAAGTCATGTAGAGTCACCTTGTGAGGCGGTTCTTGGCCAATGAATGAATGGCATTCTAGATGAAGGTGCAATAAATGACAATGTCTGTCTGTGGAATTGTATGTATATGTCTACCTGCGTATAGTCGTGTAGTCCTTCTGTGTGGCTATATGTTAACATTACACAGACACACATTCTTGTTCCAAAATAATGATAAGTGTTTCTGTTTCCACTACTGCTTACATGATAAATACAGAAACGACTATCTCTGTCTGATGTCGTAAATGTCTAGAGATTATTTTTTGCTTCCAAATTGTAAACAAATGTATATTGGAAATGGGTGGTGTACATTTCGATTATTTTATTAATGTGAAAGAGTCAAAATAGTATTATATCGATCAAATAGTGGTTTAACCGGTTTATGCTCTATTTATGTACATCTGTCGTCTGATGTCTCCAGATTATTTAACCTTCAAAATTGAGCACAAAATAGATTTTGTTACAAACCAGTTGCATTCTACCTAAAATTAATTTCAAGTTCTATTTATTTCTGCAAAGGTGCAGAAATATTGATATCCCATGTTCACTGGTGTTGCTTTACCTGTAAGTGACACCTGCTGCGTACCTTTAGTTGTCATTTAAGTCCTAGCCTTAATAACACACATTAAAGACCATAATACATTTACTGTTATACACCACCAGGTAATACGTTTACGTTGTGTTTATTGCCCGCCTTCAGACAGGTAAACTGTGATCCATTTCATCGTTAACCTGTTTAACACACTTGGAGACAGGTAAACCATTCAAGGCTAATGTGTTTATAGCTCACCTTCAGACAGGTATAATATAGGTATAAATCTGTAGCTGCTGATACATCTATTGAGGTACTATTTGATTTTAAATTTACCTGTATACAGATGCTGATTGTTCTGTAGACATACTTGTTTTATATCAGTCAGATTTCCAATCCCTTCTAACTCTCTTTCTGCACGATTGTCGACCAGTAATTACAAAAACAAATCCATCATTTATAAGACCTAACAAATTTTGGTAAAATTTCCATTCCTTAGATTGGTTATATAAACAAAGCAAACTCCTCATGCTTTTTCTTACATTCAGAACTAATGTTTGTTCAGAAATATTTCAAAAATGAATAATTTATGTCATGTATAAAACAAAGTCGGTAAAAAATATGTTGCAATATAAATAGACCAGTACAATAGAATTTTATATTTTGAGGTCAATTAAGGTATTTATTCAAGATGCAATGAATCTGTTTGGCATGTCCTAAATTTTAAATTCCATTAAACTTATTTATTCTCAAATTAGGATGGTCGGGTGGCACACTAACTGTAGTTTGCACACTTGCTTTTCACCAAAATGTCTGAGGTTCGATTCCCCGATCCAACATAAAAAATGTCTGAGGTTCGATTCCCCGATCCAACATAAAGAATGTATGGGGTCTGCACCACCAAGGCACTTTGGGTGTTCTCTGGGTACTCTGGTTCCTTCCCATTGTAAGATTAATATATGTTAACAATGACTTGTTTCATAATTGCTGTAAATTAAATACATGTCAAGGTCATTGAACAGTGCAGGTCACTAATCGTTCAGCCCTGTTAGGCTGAAGGTGTTATCTGATACAAATTATACACTTCATCTGAAAATATTGACTTAAGGAGTATTTCTGCGAACCCCAATCTGAGAAGGAGTTCTCTTTCTGACCCGAGGGAATACACATCTTGTGGCGATTCAGTTAAAATTTGAATGAAGAAATCACAAAGCAAAAACAGTATCTTTCTGTTACTGTCCTATCATTAAATATTTCCTAAAATACAGCCTTGTATTGGACTGTTAGGGATGTCGAGTAAAAGATTTAGGATTTCACGGGAATTGATCAGCCAGATTGTAGGAAAAACAATTTAATGCTTAGCGATAACATCGATAGTACTAAACACAGCCTTTATAGCAGGTTTAGTGAAAACAACAGATGGTCTGGATTTCAACATCTTTAATGGATGTGAGGTAAAGTGGAGGGTTGATGAGATGGCTGCTTT